AAAAATACATTGATTTGCATTTTTTAAAATATCCTACAGAGAACATGGTGTTCTGGAAATAAAATCAAAGATTATGAATCTCTGTTCCCTGCACAAGTCTGAGGCACCCTGACTTAGAAAAATAAGTAGTATATTCCTCTAAAAAGTATATGACTAGGGAAGACTCATGGATAAAGGCTAAGCTTAAAATGCACATACCCTAAGTGTCACTTGCAATTAATTATGAACTATTGCTGAAATTGACACAAACATCTGAGGTTTCAAACCAGGATTTGACACTTAGCATCACTAATGCAAATCTAAGGTCTTAGTGTTGTTTTCCTACCGAATTGTGTTACTTGGAAGGCTATGAAGATTACTTTGGACAAACTATCTGAAACTTGCATCTCCCAAGATACGGTCCTTTGGCCTCTCTCTGAACACCTCTGGGAGGACCTTAATGTGATCCTCACATAAGGGTAAAGTAATATCATCTGGGTTTGAGGCTATGCTGTTTACATGTAGATCTGTGTGAAGGAAATGAATTGCCCTGGTCCATTTTTAGCCTGGGAAGATGTTTTGTAATAGAAATTTATACTATTTTTATGGGGGTATAAATCTGAAATTATAGGCTACAATTGTACCCAAACTCTATGAATCTGAAATAATAGAACATGTCATAAGGTTTTAAATTGTAATCCTGAGGTGAATATCACTGAACTGCTTGGCCTGAGAGAAGAGGAAAATTCTCTTTATATACAGCCTTTATTCAGATATTTTATTCATATTACCAATTTAATAAAATCCTTGGCTGGGCAAATGTTCTCCAGGTGTAGAGACAGAAGACTAGAATGTCTAAAACCAGTTCTTTATATTCTTCAAAGTTTAAAAAATTGTGTATATGTAACATTTTGCCTGGTTTTAGAACTGCAGAATACGGAACTTTGTCATTTTTACCTTTTTCTTAAAGTAGAAAGCTCACACCTTGAAAATCAGGTTTCATCACCCTATTTTGACATATCAACTTTTATGGGGCTTCAATTCCCCATGCAAGATTCTGGTGTTTTCCCCACAGGGGGTAAAACCAAAGAGAAATGACAGAGGCCAGGAAGCCAGGGCGAGGATGATTTAAGTCTAGAGCAAAGAGGAAGAATGGGACAAAGCTGGTTCCGAAGGGGATGAGTGGCAATGACCACAGAAGGGGCTGGGAAGATAGTGGGCAGGAACAAAATAGGAACCAGGAGTGTACCGAGATGTCTGTACACATATGACAGACGGGAGAGACTAAATCCTGGCTTTGCCATTCATTGGCCGTAGAACCTAGAAATAGGTATTTCATCTCTCTGAACTTCCACTTCCTCATTGGAAAATGGGGAAATTCCCATCTTGTACATCTGCGGTCAGAGAACCTTGCAAAGATTATCGCACCCCCCAAGCAGAGTCTGCTGCTCCCTTTCAACCCTTCCCTGACTCCATCCTTCCTGAGCTGGAGATAGCCGTGATGATCACGGAGTCAGTGTTCGAAGTCTGTGCAACCCAAACTGATCCTTTTTCAGTCTTTTTATTATGGCAAGTTTCAAACTGCAATTATAAAATGTCTAACACTGACTCTCCATATATTTATTATACAGCTTCGACAGTTACCAGTCATGGCCCATCTTCTTTGTCTATACCCTCATCGTCCTCCTACCTTCTGTATTAATGTGAAGCAAAGCCAGATGACATACTATTTTATCTATATCTCAAAAGATAAGGACTTTAAGAAATACATTCATAATACCATATCACACCTAACACATTTATGTTATTATTTAATGTTAAATATCCAGTGTGCGTACATTTCTAGTGTTTTATAAATTTTTTAAGTTTTCTTGAATTAGGACATAAGTTATATCCACAAATTACAAAAAGTCTTTCAACCTATTAGCTGATGTGCTCTTTGGTCCTCTGTATTACATGCAAGGTAGAGAACTGATCAGATTCAGGTTGACTTTGCTGCTGTTGTTGTCATCATTACCACTCTTACCAACCACATGAATCCTGCTACCAAGTGGTATTGCTACTGATGATGGGATTTTTCCCCCAGACTGATAAATAATTCTTGGAAAAGGTCTGAACAAGTCAATATATGGTCTCCCCCCAGTTTAACTAATAATTTTCTCATGAAAAATTTGGTATTAAAACTGCAAAAGTATTTTGTAGTCATAGGAAACATGGAGCTAGGCTTTAGGGTCAGATAATTATAATCTTATCTTCCACCTGCAGGAATGTCTGAAAAGTTACATGGTATGTGGGAAAATTCTCTGTTGTATAGGATTATCTGCCACATGTCAGAAAGTCTAGTATCTCTGGCTCCTTTCTGCTAAATGCCACTGGCACCTGCCCCAAATCTGTAAAACTGCTGTCCGCGTCCTCTCACACTTACAAAATGCCCCCTATGGTTCACTTTGTCCCCTGTTGAAAACCGCTAAATTAGTTTGAGCGGCAGCAAAAGAGGAAATTGATTTTCACTGAATGTATGCAGTAATTTTTGGAAAGGAAATAAGAAAAATATCCGGTGTGGGAAATGAATATCAAAACATTCACAAATTTAAATCTTTCAAAAATTCTTCTCTGGCAGAATTTTATTTCTCTAAACTATGCTGGAAAATATGAATAGACTTTCTGATAAAACAAATGACATCATAATGACTTCATGCTGCTATATGTAGTTCAAGTTGGAAATTTTTTAACAGCTAGGAAACCAGACTGGTACAGGTAGGGACACTAGGATAATGGCATAGAATGATAAATTCCTTTTTGACTTTTTTAAACATAAGTATATATTTCTGAATCTCCTGATGGTGTGTTTACCTAATCGGCCCATAATGCTGATAAGGAATTGTGTTTCACTCTGAAATGGAGAAAATGTTTACCTTTCGATAACTCACTCACCTTATTAGATGATATACTTCTTGTATTTTTCTTTGGGCCTATTGAAAGTTACTTTATTAATTGTCTTTTATATTTAAATATTGTTCATCATCCCAAGATGGAAACAATTTTCATATCTGGAAGATATTTTATTATTATTCTTTAAAGCACTAATTGTTTAGTCATGGTTCCTAGTCAGTTCCCCATTCATAGTAGATGCTCCTTAAATATTTGTTGAATGAACTCACCCAGTAATCATTAATATATCATCATTATTAATATAGCTTATTACTCATCACCATTAACATATCTTATTACTATATATAATTATGTGCTCTCATATTGGATAATTTTATTCTCATACCATCATTATCATGAAACATTAAGTGTGGGTCATCTATAAAAGAAGAAACATGAAACATAAAGGGTGAGTAGAAGTTGAATTAAGTGATTTTTTTTTTATAAATCATATTGATGGCATAATTGGAGAAGAATTTAAGTTTTCTGACTTTGATTTTGTTCTACCAATAGGATCCTTTTTGCATTAAAATTTGATGCTTTCTATTCCTGCTGCCTAGTTGTTTCCATGTATTCAAAGCATTTGTCAAAAGACAGAGAGGAAGAGAAGGAAGGAAAGAAAAGGAAGGAAAGAAGAAAAAGAAGGAAGGGCAGGGAAGGGAAGGGAGGAAAGGAGGGAAGGAAGGGAGGGAGGGAGGATCTGCGATTAATTCCCCCAATATGTACATACTGGCTTTGACTTTCAGAAATCCAGAATAAGATATCAAGTGTTTTGGTGGCATAATCTTTCTGGTAGGAGATTTGGCTCGCCTAAAAGAGTCACATTATTTAATGTCTGAACATTGCAAAGCAGGTGCAGCATCGACATGGTAATTTGTTCAGAGACCAGAACTGTGTAACTATGGAGACATTACCTCATAGTTCTAAGAGGCAGTGTTGGCCAGATGTGAAGGTTGTAGTCACAAAAGTCCCTTTGCTGGTTATTGTCCTGTCTCTTGAGCTGCTACACACCTCCATGGTGCTTTGTCTAATATCCTTAGTGAATATCAGAACTGGCTGTGCTGGTACTTACATATTTACAGGAGAATCCTGGTTCTGGCAGCAGCTGCGTAAAGAAATCATTAGATCTGGCAGATGCTTGAAGGTAGTTGGATTAACAGGTGAGGTTATTTTTTAAAGAAAATCTGCCTTGAATGCCAGCTGTATTCTCTGCCTGAGTTCATGATCTGTTTTCCTAGGGGAAGAAAGAGACTTCTCTTGAAGCTGACATGAAAGAAACACAAGATGTTCGGGAAGCTTCAGAGGCCGTGGAGACTGTAGTCCACAAGCAGGAGGATGGAGTGGAGCAGCAGGAGCGGTAAGGCGATGAGGATGCGGGTCTGAGTTTTAGGGGACAATGATGGAGTCATTGACCTCTTCTGTTTCCAACCGTCTTATGAAGTAGTTAGAACCAGACTAGATCCCACAAACTTAATCAAAATAACGAGCTATGGCA